TTCCCTACCGACCTGCTTCAGAAGAAGAATGGCTGTGCAATGCCATCTGGAATAGCTGCTTAACGTTGCAGAGCACTCTTGGTCTTTTTGAGACCCAGTCTGCAGGCATAATGCATTGTGCTGGTGGTGGGCGAGTGCAACCTGAGGGAGTTAGTGACAGCAACCAGAATGCACTGTCTGAGCAGAGCTGGAGTAAACTGTGTGTGATTTGTCAGGGGAGAGGAACAGACTGATCAGTTGGGTGTGAGATAAGAGTAGCTTGGGAAACTTTTACTGGTCCTTCAAATGGGTTTGGAGAACCACAGCAACAGAGAGCAGGCAGGGCTGGGTTGTTCTGTATTGGAAAGGATGTGATGTTTTTCTTGGGTGTTGGAACACTGATACGATGTGTTTGTGTCCCACAGCAATTATACCAGACATTAACAGATTATGATATTCGATTCTACATGTATGAGATTTTGAAGGTAAGCTGGTGTTTTGCCGTTTTATTGGTTTATTTCTAGGATTTGCACTCAGCTAATCCTGTAGAGATTGTTATCACGTCACTAAGGGGGGTGAGGAGAAAGCCTGTGGCAGAATTGGATAGGGAAATATATATGTTAAGATCTAATATTTAAGATACTAGATCAAAAGTACACATAGCCTCTGAAGACAGAAAATTGTAAGCTGTTACTGCCCTAATGTAATGTGAGTCAAATGTATTTGTCCACTCTTCAGAAGAAAATATTTTCTCCTCAGGAGCCTGGAGAAGGGGAGACTTGTTTGATCAATAATGCCTAGTAACTCTGCTCTTAGGTACTCCGAAATTCCATTTTTATGAGGAAGTACCCGAGGTGAAGTCAAAACATTTCTGTTGCTGGGACCTCCCTTTGAGAGGGTGCTCTAGAGGTGTTTTCTGTGGTCCATGAGTCTAGTCCAGCATATAACAGTAGATAGTAAAAGTCTTGTCGTCTAGTTAGGCTTGGTATGTGTGGAAATACTTCTGAATATGGGTGAACTTGAAAGTTTCTTGTTACTCCAGCATCTGTTTCTTTCCATGTCACCTACAGGCTCTAGATTACTGCCATAGCATGGGAATCATGCACAGAGATGTCAAACCTCACAACGTCATGATTGACCATGAGCACAGAAAGGTAATAATGTGGGGCAGGCTGGAGGGCAGGGAGAGGCCCTGCTTTTCTCTTGGCAAACAAGGATCCCTTTCGGCTACTCCTGTGTAGTGATATTAGCAGACATCTTTAAGGGGGGGCTGCACTTCCATCATGTGGAGAAATGTAAAATGAAAATCTACATGCTGCTTTTCTTAAGTTTTTATGGGTTACATGTAACCCATAATAGGGTTGGTAAGGAGAGGTATTTTATTTAGACTGTTTTGGCGATACAGATGTGGGAAGAACATCTAAACAGATATTCTGATCAACTTCAAATTAATTGAAAATAGAAGACCTGTAAATGAAGCTTCAAAGTAGTGTGGTTCAGCCAGTGGAGAGCTGGATCATACCTTGAGCCTTTTTTCTCTGTTTTCTACCATTTCTAGCTTAGACTAATAGACTGGGGTTTGGCTGAATTCTATCACCCTGGCCAAGAATACAATGTCAGAGTGGCTTCCAGATATTTCAAAGGACCTGAGCTCCTTGTAGATTATCAGGTAAGAATTGCTGGGGTTTATCACTGACTTTTATATGGAAAGTCTGTACCATTTCAAGGTAGCAAAACAGAAATTCAGATATCTAGAGAGCTGAAGCTAAAGACAGTCCATTCTAAAATGTATTGCAGAAAGCAGTGGCTGTAAAGCCACTGAATTAAAGAAACTAATGAGTAGTCTCAGGGTGTGAGGAAGAGCTGCAGAACAATTATCATGGATCTTGGGAGACAAATGTGGAATGTTTTTTTTTTTTTTAGCAAGGCTGCTTTCGCAGTAAAGTACAGGAATGGAACAAAGCCCTTGTGGGAATAGCTGGGACTGCATGAACTTCTAAATTAAGCTATAAAAACATCCCCATACCTGATGGCAGGTTGCATTATGGAAATGCTGTTGGCTGGAAATAGCAGTGTTACTGGTGACTTTCAGATCGTGCCGGTTCTGAATGAAGGCACTTCCTCACCTGCCTGTATACCTTGTGGAGTCCACTCCCTTTGTTGCTTGTGGTGCTTCCCTTCTCAACATGTGTTTCTCAATGACTCATAACATTGAAGTCTGCAGTGAAAATAGAAAAAGGCACCGATCTTTAATATCCTTATGGACAAGGATGGAAACGGGATACCTGCTGTTCTGCTAATTGCTGTATCCCAGTTTGAGTAACTGGAACACTGAGCTGAACAGTGATCTAGCAATGAAGATGCATGAAGATATTTCAGTCTGTTCCCAGCATAACTTGGCTGTGTTTGTATCACTGGAGGGAGGGGGGAACCTGCTAGTACTGAGAGTCTGTTCTGCTTAATTCATTAGCAATTGAATTGTCCTTCTGGTTTTGTACAGATGTATGATTACAGTCTGGATATGTGGAGCTTGGGTTGCATGTTGGCTAGTATGATATTCCGAAAGGAGCCATTTTTCCATGGCCATGACAACTACGATCAGGTGAGAGCTGGTCATGTACAACTTCTCTTAGCACAATGAAGGTTTCCTGCTTACACTTCTATCGAGGGATCCGAAGGGAAAAAATAAGCATTTCTCTAATAGGTTCTTTGCTCTGTTTGAACCCACATTCCTTTTCTCAAGTGTGCAAGATTATCTAACAAATTAAATAGGAGTAGATTTAAAGTGCGTTATATTTATGAGGTCCTCCGTAGGTATCTGGAAAAAGTTATAACAATAGTTATATTAAGGCTGGTGTGTTCTGGTATGTAGAGTGGCTATTGCTGAGATTATGTTACGTGGAAAGTCCCTGCCACTATCCACCCTCCCTCCCCTCTGTATAGAAACTGAATTTGGTACAGTTTTATATAGATTCTGAAATCTTTGATGTGTTGCCTTTAGGCCAAAATTTTTATACTTAAACCTTTAACACGTGCTCTGCATCTGAACTAACGTGTAGACATTCAAGAACAGTGACCTTCTGTTCTCAGACCTTCATTCTGGAGCCCTCTGGGGTGGTGTTTCACCCTTCACGTGCAAGATACAGAGTTGATGGTTTTTTGACCAGTTATTCTCGCCTTCCCACCCTGTTGGTTTTGAATAGTTTTGTGCTACAACAGGAGTTAGTGTTGCAAGTTCTCAGGGTTTAGTGATGTTAGGGTATGTAGCTCCCTCCTGGCTGCCTTGGGTTGCTGAGTTCTGACTGTGAGCAGAGGCATGTTCACGTGTTCATGATGCCTGTGATGTAGGTGGCCGGGGAAGTCGGAGCCACGGGATGACCCTGTGGCTGTTGGTTCAGACCACTGAGGTCAAGTTCAAGGAATGTGCTGCTATATCTTCACGCTGGCTCTGGCATTATCATACCTTCACAGTAGTGACTTTTCTGTTTGTTCCCAGCTGGTGAGGATAGCCAAGGTGCTGGGAACAGAAGACCTGTATGACTACATTGACAAATACAACATTGAACTGGATCCACGTTTCAATGACATCTTGGGCAGGTGAGCCAAGATCCGGCATAGCTCATAATCTCTTGGTAGACCCAGAGAGCTACTGCTTTGTCAACAGAACTTGAAGTAAACAAAAACTTTGGCTTATGGGAGAAATCAGAGCCAAGACTCTTGAGAACTGTCACTTTGTGCCTTTGATCCCTTTTGACAGTGCTTCCCATGGTCCTTTCTCTGCAAATGCACTTGAGGGAAGGTTTGTAAATGTCATCTAGGCAATAAATGAAGGGCTGGAGCATAAAGCATGAAGGGCAGATGCTCTCTCCAGTGTTCTGGTGGGGAAAAAAAACCAAAACGGTGTTTCTCAGAATTACAGTGCAGAAAATCAGTTGCTGCTTAAGATGGCATTTACATATTTTTTCCTCCTCGTAGAGTCATTTTGTGTGACATATACCAAAACTGCAAGGAACTATTGTTGGGGGCATAAGGGAAGAGCAGAAACTGAAATTTTAAGCCTGTAAATCCATTCTGAGCTTGTTCACGCTGCCGGGGCTGTGGTGGCTGTGCCGCCGCGTGGAGACATGGTGTACTGCTTCTTCGTGCTCTGGTATGGCTCAGCCCCGTTGGTGCCACACTAAGCAGCGGCCCCTCTCGGAGATGGACATCTGTCGCAGTTCTTGCTCTTTAAAAAAAGTTGGTTTTGGCATTGATGTCCTCTGCCTAGCCTGATTTGGGTATCTTTTTCTGCAGACACTCCCGTAAGCGATGGGAGCGTTTTGTTCACAGTGAGAACCAACATCTGGTGAGTCCAGAAGCTCTGGATTTCTTAGACAAGCTGTTGCGATATGATCACCAGTCACGACTCACAGCGAGAGAAGCCATGGAACACCCCTACTTCTGTAAGTATCAGCTGCTGGCGTCATCTGCTGTCCAAAGAGTTCTTCCTCTGCCTCTGGGAAATATCTGTTCCAGTAAGTTGTGCAGATAGGAGCTAAGAACGGCAACATAATAAGCCTGGTCTTCACAAATAATTGCGCTGGAGCTGGGGCTGCTGTCTCCGTGGTGAATAAATTAGGCCACTGCCACCTACACCTACACCAGCTGAGGAAACAAAGCATTATATGCCTATGGCTGGCCAGTGAATCAGCACTGTGTTAAAGAAGGTTTGGTGCTAAACCTGTGCTAATTTCAGCAGGTGTCTGGGTACACAGTATCCTGTGTTTTGATACAACCAGGTAACTGGTTTGTTGAGAAAAAGGCCCTTTTAACTCCTTTTGTTGCTAAATGTGTACTTTAGCAAAGGATATATTCAGGTCTTGGTTTTGCAAGCAAAAAATTTAACTTTCACTAGTACAAGTTTTTAAACACTTGCTGTTTTTCACAAATCTTGATATTTAGGTTTTTGAAACAGCTGTAACAAAGCAAAATATGAGTATTGCTGTTATTCTTTTTTTTTTTTTCCTTGCTGTGGAATGGGCTTGTGTAATTAACAAATGGTGTAGATCTGTGTTATGCCTGTGGCAAATGTTCAAGTGAAATGTTTTGCAAGTATGAGCATTACTAACGCTGAAAGCTTTGAATGGGAGAGTCAGACAAGCAGCTGAATTAACTTGTGTTCAAGTAGAGATACAGTTTGTACTAAAGTACTCAGCATAAGGAAGGGCAAAATTTAAAATTCCCTCATCTGATGCAGCAGGCTTGGGAGGCAGGAAGGGGTTGTCTCTGTTCAGATGGTAGTGTTATTTACCTGCAGCTGAAAATAGAGTTAGCGAGTAAATTTGGAATGTATTACAGAAGACAGCAAGCTCAAATGACACTCGTTACAACTCACAGGCTGCTGTGGGATGTGTATAGAGGCATGACATACGATTGTAATTAGTGATAATCTTTCTGCTTCCTATACTCATTTTCTGGGTTTGGCTTTATGTAATTGTTTAGCATAGAAAGGAGATCAACTTCACCTTCATTTCCTTCAGCTTTTGCTGTCAAGAAGTTCCACTGAACTCCAAAGTGCATCATTTAGGAAACTTTTCACTGATCACATTACCTTGGTACCTTCTTGAGTACTTTCTGCTGGAGCTGGTGGAAACTTCTGTGTTCCAGTAGATGCTGGTTGATGTTATTTGACATAGACAGCTTGCCAGGACTGGCTTGAGTGCGGAGGTCGCAGGCAGTCAGTGTGCTTCAGCTGCTGTCTGGCAGCACCGCACCTAAGGGTAGTGTGCTCTTCCTAGATCCCATCGTGAAAGACCAAGCTCGGATGGGCTCGTCCAACATGCCGGGTGGCAGCACTCCTGTCAGCAGTGCGAGTATGATGTCAGGTGAGTTCTGTTATTGACTCTTCTCGGTGTGTGGCATTTTAAAGCATTTACACGCACTGTGTGGGTGTGAGGATCCAGGAGGGTGAGTCCTATAGGTGGGGCATTAGGTCATCTCCTGGGACCGATGACAAGGGCAAGGAGGGCTACAACAAAGTGGGTGGGAGAGCGTGATAAATAAGGCCTCACTGCAGCCTGACCTGCTTTTCTGGTCTCATTTTTAAAAAGTGCTTTGCAGTTGGGTTTTTTGGCAGCAGTTTGAAGGACAGTGATCTTGCCATGCATCTGCCCTTCAGTGACCCTTGTATGTGCACAAATCTGTGGTCTTTTCAGAGGCTGCAGAGAACAGTGACATTTTTAATCTCAGTTTATTTTGGCAGCTCTGAAAATACAACAGAGCAGCAGCAAACTGACCTGCAAAGATACCGTTTTATTTAAGAAGCTGAGCTGTCCTGGATAGCAATGCACTGGTTTCACTCTAATTCCTGCTTAACTGTCTCTCTTCCAGGGATTTCTTCAGTGCCAACACCTTCACCCCTTGGACCTCTAGCAGGCTCACCCGTCATTTCTGCCACCACCACTCTGGGGATGCCCGTTCCAGCTGCTGCAGGCGCTCAGCAGTAGTGATGGGCTCTGTCTCCTGCTGCCTGAGCTGAGTCAGGTGGGGAAGAGGTTTCCCCCTCCACCTCTCCTCAGGACGCAGCTCGTGCCTGGCAGGGGAAGGGAGGGGATGAACGCTTTGGAGGCACCGTGTCTGAACTGTTGCTTGTGGATTTATAGTAGTTCAGTCATTATATACAAAATTATTATAGGCTGATTTTTCTTTTTTTACTTGAACTTTTCGTAACTCAGGGGATTCCCTGAAAAAAATACCTACAGATGGAATATTTCTCGGACAGTTTTTTTTCCCCCCCCAAAAAAAGTACTCTACATTTAAGAACAAAGAGGAATCAACAGCATTTCCAAGCTCTTGCATCCTGCTGGAAATCTCTTCTCTTCATGTTCCCACCATTACTCCTCCATGAGCCTACACCTTGGGGGATTGTGCTGTTCTCCAGAGACTACCAAACCAAGTCTTCGTGAGGCAGGGGAGGGGGATTCTTAAAGTACTCTCTAAAGTACCTTAAAGTACTCACTTAAGCCCCATGTCCTGCATATGATTCAGCCAGGGTACACCGAGGAGACAATTCCAGTATGGAGAGGTGGTATAAGTTTAAAAGGAGTGAGTGCAGATAATGTCTGAAACCCTAATTGGATTGAATCATGTCTCCTTAGGAGCCAACCAGAATGCCAACTTGCCCCCTTGCATGTAATTTTAGTCTTAAAAAAATGAAGTTACTGATCCAATTGGAGTCCTTGCCACCTTGTGAGAAAGGTGCTCCTGTAGAGTAAGCCGTACTCTAATCAGTCCCGTTCTCATGGAGGGTTCTTCCTGCCATTGCTTGGCTTGGATCTCTGGAATTAGTTTGTTATTGGGTATATTGTTTTTAAATTGTTTATATAGGTTTCAAGCTGGTGGCTACTTAAAGCTGGAAAAATCAGACTGCGCCAAGTCCGATCTCACATCTTCACCCACCATCCCCTCCCTCACGTGCCATGTGGTGAGAATACCAGTTACCTCACAGTCTTGTAAATATGCACTGAGAGGAAGGAGCGAGCAGACGTTAACTTAAACTGAAATGGTAGATCAGTAATTGTGGACAAATATTATCATTGACAACGGAAAAGCACCCTTGTTACAGCCCTGCTACCCCTTGCTGTGTATATATACTTTGTCCTTCATATGTGAAAGATCCAGTGTTGGAATTCTTTGGTGTAAATAAACATTTGGTTTTATTTATCGAGGTTAGATTTAAGTTCCCTGTGTAGAGGCCTCCCTGAGGTGGTGGTACACTTTGACACGGGAGCGGCTGACAGCCCCACATGTGCTGGGGAGGCTTTGTCCCTGTTCACACACACTGCATGGTGAGCAGTGCAGAGGAGCCATACGCAAACTTCAAAAGCCAAAGTATCTCCTGAGAGAAGGACCTTTTGCGACAAAACCCCATCCTCTTCTGTCTCAGCCCTGATGGATGCGGAGTCGCAATGGTGACCCAATTACTAATTTTTTTCACGTGTGTTGCCATTCATTGGGTTTCAGTGACTTGGTTTCAGTCATGTAACACTTGTGGGGCTCAGCTGGAACGGCTGTACACATGATGGCACCTGTCCCTCTTGGTGACCTCCTATCCTAAAGCCATTGTGGCTCCCCTACAGCTCCTCTCCCTCGTTTGTTCTCTGGGGGTGATGGCCGTGTCTTGGCATGTCAGTTAATTTTGCAAGGTGGAGTGGGCTGGGTTAAACTGACAGAGGAGAAATAAGGCAGGAGAGTGCTAAATACTGCGCCCTTTGAGGATCACTGCCATGGGAGAGGAGGTTTTTCACGCACACCAGATTCACTGTCTCCTCCATGCCTTCATCCAGTGGAAGCACGTACTTTCCTATCCCAGAAGGATGTGAAAGTGGGATTGTGTCGACTCTTACCTTGATGTGTTGTATCATAAAAGCGCTCAGTATGGCAGAAATACACCTTGTGGTTGTTCGCACTCGGCTGTGAGCTACACGGAACGTTTCACCGCGTCCTTCTCTGTTATTTTAATAAACACCTTAAGAAGGTACCAACGCAGCGGTTGGCAAACGCGTGCTGCGCGTTCCCCTCCGCGCATGCGCAGTCGCGCCGCGCCCCTTCTGCCCACGTGATCCGCATCAAGCCGTTGCGCCTGAGCACTGAGGCGCCGTGACGTATCGCCCGCGCGCCGGCGGTGGAGGGGCGGGGGG